TCCCTGGCAGCCCGACGGCTCCTGCTGGCAGAGCCAGAGCCGGCCCTGGGTAAGGCGGGAATGTGGCTCCTTTGTGTCCGGTCCCGGAGCTCGGCACCCAGGGAGCGGGCGGGAGCCACGGAGCCGTTCTCGCCGCGGCAGGGCTTTGCCCCGTGACTCTGCTCTGGGTTCTGTTGCTTTAGGTGAGCAAGTCAAAGCAAACGGGTTTATGCTGGAAGCTTCCAGCGTGCGCTTCCTGCGGGGGCCTGCAAGGCCTGGCGTGCTGATCGCGTCTCTGCTGCTGGTGCGGTTCCTTCAGGGCTCGCCCGACAGCCGGCTGCCATCCAGGGGCTGTTGGTGGGTGCCCAGCGAGGTACCAGCAGCTGGTGCGCTGGGTTGTGAGGACATGCCGCACGTGGTTTGTCACCCGACGCCTGCGCTGGGCCGAGAGTCCTTCCACACCTCCCTGCTCCTGCCTCTGTGCCTGGAAGCCAGAGCTGCTGCCAGCCTGGGGGAGGAAGCTCACCACATCCCTCGAACGCCTGGCGAAAGGCCACGTGTCTGGGTTTGCCTGGATGTCCTTGAGGGTGCTGTTTCCCTCCTCGATGAGCTCGTCTTGTCCTTTGGCCCTGGAGAGAGTCAGCAGAGGGTGGCAGGGTTTGCCCTGCTGTTGGCTCGGCTGTGCTGGGCCCCGCCGTGCTGACCAGGCACGTCCTCACTCCCCGCTGCCTTCTCTCCCCCTTCTCCCCAGCTTTAGGCATCTGTTTTCTTCCATCTTGCGTAAATTGGAGGTTCCCTGGAGCAAGGCCTGCCGGGCTCTGTGTTCGTGCAGGGTAAGGTGGTTCCCCCTTTTGCCCCTCCGTGCAGCTGCGTTGCAGGCAGGGCAGGGCAGGGCTGCCTGCGCCCTTCAGCTGTCTGCCTCTGCTGCTGGCTGTCCCTGTGCATTGCTGTGTACAGAGACCGCTCCCACGTGTGCACCCTGCGACCGTGGCACACACTGAATTGTCCAGAAAAGAAAAAAAGTCATTGCTCCGGAGCTTTCCTTTGTTTGTTTACTTATCTCGCTAGTAAACAGAGCAGTCTTGGAGATTAGGCAGGAGGGAGAAGAGGAAGGGAAACTGCACTCTGAGGTTATGACCTCCTTGTGGATGCTGGGCTGTTTACATTCCCTGCTCCTGTCCCAGTAACTATTGCAGGGCAGTTTCTTCTCAGCGCCTCGCCAGGCTGCCGAGGTTTTTCCCTGCTTGTGCTGTTCCTGCCCTGTTCCCTACCGCTCTTTCCGCCAGGCACTGCTGCCACAGCCGGCCAAGGATGGCTGGCAGTCCGGTGTCCCTCAAGGGGCAGAGTCCTGCGCTTGGTCTACAGCCTTGTGTTTCATGAATGAAAGCCTCTGAATGGGGATTTCGGGAGCTATTAGCCCCGCGTAGCTGAGCTGAGCCAGAATCTGTGGCTCTCTGGAGAGCTGAAAGGCAAACCCTGGGCTCTGGCTGCTCGGAGGGACTGTGGCTACGAGACATCTGGTTGTCATTATCCAGCAGCTGCTGCCAGGACCCAGTGAGTTAGGCAGGGAGTGCCCAGGAGGACTGCAAAGGAGGGAGTGGGGAAGAGGAGTGGCAGTGCAGGGAGCGTGGGGCAAGTGGGGAAGGCAGCTGGAAGAACGCGTGTTGGTGTCCTGGTGTACTCGGCTACAATCTCACTGCCTTGCGGGCTGCGCTGGCCCCGGTGGCCAAGGCAGTGGGGTGGGGGGTGCATGTGCGCATCCCCAGCAGCTGGAAGTAGACCCACCTGGTGGTCCACGACCACTGGCTGGTACGGAGCGGGACCCCCCTCTGCTGCTGCGGCCCCAGGCAGCTGCCTCCTGCACAGCACACCCTCCTTTCCCTCCAGGGTGTATCCAGGTTCCCCAGGCCAGAGTTGGCCGCTGCGGCTTCCCAGCTGGTGCGTGAGCAAGCGAGGGGGCTGACACGGCTGCAGACGGTGGTGGTGCTGCTGCGGGTGAAGGAGCTGAGCAGGAGATGAGCTGGCCGGCCGAGCAAGGCAGCACGTTTTCTGGGCCTGCAGAGGAGCTGAAATCTGTCTCGTCTCCTCGGAGAGCTGCCAGCCTGCCCAGGATGGCGTCCTGCTCTGTACCGTCAGGGCTGGCTGTTGGAGACGCTGCTTCCCCTCCACCCAGTGAATTCTGCATCCCTGGGGGCTGAATGTCATCCCCCAAGTGCTCGTGTGAGGGAGGAGAAGGTAGGACGGAGGCTGGGTAGAGCCCTGGAGCACTGGAACATTGTGTGCTGGGAGGCTGTTTGGATTAGAAACTCTCGGCGGATAAGTGGGCTGGATGAAATGCCAGGGAGGGGAATCAGAGTTTGCTGAACTCCAGTAATTGGACTCGTCTGCAGCACCCTGGTAAGCCAAGCGAGCTGCTCACGCTCAGCACAGGCGAAGGGAAGGAGCCAGCAGGCGAGAGCCAGCGGAGCCACGGCCCAGCAGGAACAGCCAGGCGGGCTGTCGGCACAGCACGGGCTATGATGACTTGGTAGGTGGCACAGGAAAGCAGCGTAGGGTCATCACAGGGTGCCTAAGCCACTCGCTGAGCATGAGTGACTGAGTTGAGGACAGCATGTTGTGTGGAAGTTGGGGGAACACGAAGCGCAGTCTAAGGAGAAAGATGCACTGCAGGTATCTTTGGTGTGACGTGATTGCTCTTTGGAAAGTCCATGCTCAAAGGCCTGAGACAAAAATGGAGGGGACAACTCAAGCCCAAAGCTCTTGCAGCCACAGACGTGGAGGCAGAGCTGTAAGGAGGCGGGAGTGAATCTGCTGAAGGGCTCAGGGAGCCCAAACCAGTGGTTTTGCCGTGCTACAGGGAAGAAAGCAGCTCACTTAGTAAGTGAAGGGGATGGAAATGATGGGCTGAACCGACTGCTGAAGGCACTTTTAAAACTTGAGCTTCCAGGGGAGAAAGATAAAAACCCCAAACAAGCAGCCAGTGATCAAAAGCAGGTACGTGCATAGCTGGAAAGCTCAGCTCTGTGGGTCTGGAGATGCACGCACACGTTGCCTGAATCATCGGCAGTTTTAGCATGCCTGAAATTCACAGCTGACGCTGCAGGTACCAGGACACATGTTCTGCTGGTCTTCGCTGGTAACAACTGTCCCCTAAAACTGGTAATCCTCGGGAAAGGTGGCTGCCCTAACCAGCTGGGCAGCCAAGGAGAAACAGGCAGGGCTTGCTCTGGGGAGTAAGGAGACGGACTCAGCGCCCCAGGTTAACGAAGGACTTGATGCAGATTCTTGTGCGGCAGCCCGCGTGTACGTGCGCCTGTCTCTGCCTGGGAAACGGCTGCTGGCTCACCCTCACGTCAGCGCAGCACCCATGGGCAGGTTGAGCCCGTAGCCAGACCCTTGCGGCACCGATGGAGTCCGCGATCCCTCCTGGCAACGAGTAGGCGGTTCTGAATCCGGCCCAGGGACCATCTCTCCTGCCAGCAAGTTCACCATGCACGTCCTCGTCCTTTTTGGAGCCTGAGAAATAGAGACCGAGGCTGAGAAACGGGAAGGCTTTTCTAGGGCTCGTGGGAGCTGCCCAGGCTGGGCTCCCCCTTCCCCTTCCTGGCCTCTGGGAGAGGCATGGGAAGCTGGTGTCCGAATGCCTGCCCTGGATACGGAGCCTCACTCATCGGCTCGTTCATCTGTGGCAGTCTCCCAGGTCTCCTCTCGGGATGCAGGCAGCTGGAGGCAGCCGGTTCAAAGGCCAGCCTGGTCAGGAAGAGGCGAGGGGAGGGGGGGAAGGCGCAGGT